AAACAAAAAATTGCACATGACATGAACGAGCAAGTTCAAGCATAAAACTCGATGAATTGTTAAATCATGGACGCACTTATATGAAAACAAGACCCTTAATATGGGGATGAACATGATAAACCCAAAGAAATTTGCAGTCGTAATAAAAACTTGAAAACAGAAGAATGATAAGAAAAGGAAGAAAACGAAAACTCAGAACGCAAACAAATGTACCAAAAAAATTTGAAACAAATTGGCAACTATTCATTTAGGATCACATGCAGAAAGTACTATTGCTTAATCTAGAAAGATGAAGCAAATAGTAAAGGATCCAGAAAAATTCATTTCAGACAAAAAAACTGATTGATCTTTCATGAAAATCAATGAGAAAAAGCTCAAAAGTGATTGAATAACTTGGGATAAATAGCTCACACATATATAATTTACACACATAGTTCAAATAGTAACTCTCACTTAAATTGTATAATCTTTCACAAAACAGTCAAGCGTGCAATCAAAAATCTTTACAAAGTTATTTTACACAGATGAGAACATCCAACCACAAAAGCACTACATATCAATTTTACGAGTGTATTTGAAACTCTTCACAACTTTAAGAGTTCTATGGCATTTCTGATCTTCTTCAGAAAGAACAGTGAATTTGCGCACTTCGACAATCATCAAGAATTCCGAAAAAAATATTCCTCTTGAAAAGGCTTGGTCACAACGTAAAAAAAAGACCAAAAAGTGAGCAGGCATAACAATTAAAATTCTAGTGTAGAAATGTATACATGTTCATAATAGAATGCATAGGAACAGAATCATCACATGACTAAAAACACCATAATTAAAATTCACATGACTAAAAACATCACATGCTGATATTCTTATAGTAACCCATCACAATTTGCACATGTCATCAAACAAAAAACTACTAGAAAATTTTGTTACTCGGATAATATTACTACATGTAATTAAGAACAGAAAAACAAGCAGTAAAAAGGAGACTCACTAAGTAACTAGTATTCAAGAATGTGATTCTTTGCTTCAGTCAGAATGTTTTGATCAGAAAAAGGCATTTCATTAGCCAACTTATTTCGAAGATTGAGAATATCAGCATCACAAATAAAATCCTGCATCTTAACCCTAGGCTTCCAATGCTTTAAGTACATTGACAGATGAACCCCGCAATCATACGTGAATATACGACATAAATTGAAAATAAGTAAAAAATAAATTTCAAGCATAAAATCATAACTTGCACAACGTAAAATCATAAACTTGCGCAATGCAAATACAAGCAAGAAACAAATAGAGTCACACAGTAGGAATGCTAAACAAAAATAATCATGGAGCAAACTAAAATTCCTAGACATATTGCTATACGAAGAATTATTGGACAAAGATAAATGAAGAACTTGCACATGATTTATAGATGTAACTACAGAAGAACAAATAGGATGGATATAAAAATAATGCATAATATCAGTTTGAAAAAATCCTGAACCAAAGAAACAACACTTGAACAAGCAACAACTGAGTGTGCAGAAACATGTAAGTAGGGCAGAGAAATACTTATTGCTTTGCTTAGGAAGTTTTGCAAAGTGCAATCCCCATGGACTCCAATCTGTAATTTGCTTTGAGCCAAACATATTCTAGACTCTTTTAAAATTTGGGATCTACAAAAATGTACATAAAACATAGAAAAAGAACAAGTCAGGCTAACTTGAGAAATGGACAAAAGAAACATTATATGGAAATGATACAAACCACTAACCAGTATGTTCAACACATTTCTCAGAAAAGGACTATCCTGGTCATAAGCGGAATCCAAGATAACAAATGTTTCATGTTGAAAAAGAACGACAAAATCAAACCAGTGTTTTAGATGTACTGTTGGGAAATGAACCTGCAAATCATAAGCATACATTACACAAACTTTTAGAATAAAAATATTGAAAAAATAATACTATAAGATTGACATGGATTCAAATATTGAGAAACATTAATTAATTGAACTTATAAATTGCAGCATAACCTCGTTGAATTTGCATAAAAAGAAACCTATGTGCAACTATCTGAATTAAGTAGACAAAAGGTAAACTCTAGTGACAAGGAAAAACTATGAGAAGATGTACCTCAAACCATGAGAAGCAAATTATTCTAAACTACAAAGTAAATGGGTAAAAAAATCATACAAAAAAAATTATATAATTGTGCACTAGAAATTGCGCAACATCAAATCAGAAATTGCGTGCTCATAGAATCAGCAACTGCAAAAAAAAGATATAGTAAACAATCAAACAAACATTAATCAATGAAGAACTAACCTCGTCACAATTATGAATCGCCCTAGCGCCACGAGCAAGTTGAAAACATCTCTGAACCATCCTGGTCTTCTGCTCATACAATTCCTCAGTCTTATATGAATCTATATTGAGTAGATACTCCTACATTTGATGAAAATAGACCAAAAATAATAACAGAAAAATAAGTATATAGTTCAAACACTACTGATCAGAACCGACAAAAAACTTCTACAACACAGAAATCAAGAAAACAAATGTAAAAAGCTTACAGAAATTACGTTATATTAGTACAAACCAAGTAAAAAACATGAAAAAAATTACTAACCATGCGCCTAAAGCAATCTTGATCAGGAACAACATCAAAGTTGATCAGAACTTGACCAACAAATGCATCTGGCGCACGAGGAGCTCCCGGACAACGACAAATGGGGCAAACCATGCCTGTAAAAAATAAGAATATTTTTTTTGACAAATTAATAACCCTTTTAGAAATTTTTCACAAGTAAGAATTAAAAAGTTGCACAACTAACTGACTTTAACTGTGCAACCCACAACAAAATGTGCACATACAAAAGAACTAGTAGCTCGAAGTTGCAATAGAAAAAGGAAGCCTGTTAAAACCGTTAACTACAAAATAACACCAACAACATACACCAAAAAGGCATATCCAGTTCCTCATCAACTGTACACACTACACTAAACAGTAGATGAACAACAAAAAAGAATTCTTCTGCAAGAAGTATGGAAAAGGAACCTGCATTATAATGCTCATATAATTAAATACAACACCTTTTATACTCCTGCAACTAAAATAAAATCATACTAAAAATACGTATAATGCTCATATAATTCAATTCAACACCTTTTATACTCCTTGGACAAATACTCCCTCCGTCCGGAATTACTTGTCATCAAAATGGATGAAAATGGATGTATCTACAACTAAAATATATCTAGAAACATCCATTCCAATGAGAAGTATTTTCGGACGGAGGAAGTACAAGATATCAGCATTTAGGCTAAAAATTCAAATCTTCTTACACTCATGTGACAAAAATAAAAAAACGGTGCACAAAACTTAAACAACTAACCTACTGGCTATCACTATCAAAAATAATTATAGACACACTACATACCAAAAAAAAGAATGACCTTTTCACAAATAAACCATGAAAACACAGAAAAAATCAACTAGAACATGCAAAAACACATCTAAAAACAATATTGCAGTGTAAGACCTAGGTGCGCCTAAAATCAC